ATTCATAGAAGATAGTCAATATCATACAGAGTTCATATGATGGATTACACTGCAAAATTGTGCATGGAGGACATTTGACAAAGTCGTTCGAAGTGAAGACCGGTGTTAGGCAAGGTTGCTTACTCTCATCCTTTCTCTTTCTCCTGGTGATTGACTGGATCATGAAGACGTCAACGTCTGAAGGGAAGCGCGGGATACAATGGACATCTAAGATGCAGTTGGATGATCTAGACTTCGCAGATGATCTGGCCCTTCTATCCCAAACGCAACAACAAATGCAGGAGAAGACGAACAGTGTGGCAGCAGCCTCAGCAGCAATAGGTCTCAATATACACAAAGGGAAAAGCAGGATTCTCCGATACAACACAGAATGCACCAATCTAATCAAAATTGACGGAGAAGATTTGGAAGATGTAAAAACCTTTACGTATTTGGGCAGCATCATTGATGAACAGGGTGGATGTGATGCAGATGTGAAGGAGCGGATCGGCAAAACAAGAGCAGCATATTTACAACTGAGGAACATCTGGAGCTCAAAGCAATTGTCAACCAACACCAAGGTCAGGATTTTCATTACAAATGTCAAGACAGTTCTACTGTATGGTGCAGAAACCTGGAGAACTACGAAAGCCATCATCCAGAAAATACAGGTGTTTATTAACAATTGTCTAAGCAAAATACTTCGGATTCGTTTACCCAGACACTATCAGCAACAACCTACTACTATGGAAGAGAACAAACCAGATCGCAGCGGAGGAAGAAATCAGGAAGAAGCGTTGGAAGTGGATAGGACACACATTGAGGAAAGCACCCAACTGCGTCACAAGACAAGGCCTCACATGGAATCCTCAAGGCTAAAGGAGGAGAAGAGGAAGACCAAAGAACACATTACGCCGAGAAAGAGAGATAGACATGAGAAAAATGAACTAGAAAAGAAGGCCCAGGACAGAGTGGGTTGGAGAATGCTGGTCAGCGGCCTATGCTCGATTAGGAGTAACAGGCGTAAGTAAGTAAGTAAGTAAGTAAGTAAGATGTCATTCATATTGTTGATTATAATTAAGCGATGAAAATGAAGAATGAGAAAATATGATGATGGTTATCATGAGATAAATTTGGATTCTTATCAAGATGGGTGTGTGTGTGTGTATGTGTGAAAATTGTAGTAATTTTAATAGTTGAATTCATGAGTTGACTAGAAGCTAGACCACCCCTGAAAACCTGGAATCACCTGATGATCGTTTCATCATAGTAAGGGACCCCTCAATAGTGAGCATCCACGATCCTTCGCGTAGGACTCGAACCCAGCACCTTTGATGTTGCACGTGAACGCTTAAACACTAGACCACTGAGCCGGCATCCAACGGTGTTCATGTCTAACTTCAGTTGATCTATGATCTTGACCAACCATTCGTCCAATGTCCGAGGTAGATACTTGTCTCTACTAGACACGTATTGGACTCCAGTGATCACGGCTTCATACTACAACTCCATGAAATCATCTTGAAATCAGTCACTAGTCACCATATGATGATTATTATCAGAATAAGGTTTGTAGTAATTTTAATTGTTGGTGTAAGCTAGATCACGATCGAAAACCTGGAAGCACTGTACGGCCGTTTCGTCCTAGTATGGGACTCCTCAGCAGCCGTCCAGTGCTTCCAGTTTTTTAAAGGTGGTTTAGCTTACATAGACTCGTGAATTCAATTATTGAAATAATAAGGACAAAAGGCCTATGGCCTATATTATTCCTTTTCTGATATGCTTCTATGATTGTCTAGTTTTCTCTTGAATGAGTCAATTAAATGTGTGGACACTACTACTTCAGATAATAGGTTCCAAGAATGAATGATTCAATGTGAAAACTTGTATGACACAAGTATCGTTTCTTCTCCTTAGCTTTTCTACTCGTCTGCTATATCCTCTAAGATGTCTTGATATATTGGGAAGAAAAAGAGAGAGAGAGAGAGAGAAGTTTAACTTTTCAACCCAGTCATATAAAATTGATTCTATTTTCTCAGTTCTCATCAGTTGTTTAAATAGTCCGAAACTGATAAAGGAAGTGATAATGATTATGAGTAATCTGTAAGGTCATTTAAAGATAGATATTAATAAGGCAAGACAATAATGACCTAAACTTAAATAAGATTAGTTATGTATTAATCATATTGTGTAAACCTTTCTAATCATCACAATCTATAACAGATATCGAATATAGATAGATAATTGGCTAGTAATCAATGCCATATTTGTATAGTCCCTAGAACTTGTCGAATTCGGATGAATAACTTGCAATGTTACTACTGCTAGAAGAGATTAGACATTGTATGCAATATGTTAGTTGATTGGAAAGAAAGCCCTGCTTGACCCATAATTCACGATATCTGACATCCATCTACAACCTCGAAGTAATTGGGTGGTCTCTGTGGGATTCACACCTTCATTACATGATGTCATTCTTTGAAACATTATTGCAAAGCTATAAGTGATGAACTGACAGCAATTTCTTTCTATGGACCTTTCTTATATATAAACTTGAATAAAGAACGAACAAATATTGTAGTAGAATAACATGAATTCATTCATTTTGTGGATACTCCTCAGCTACTTACAACCTAAAACCATAGTATTAATCATTAAAACAAATATACATACTTTATATCGGAAATGTCTAGAATAGACTGAGTTAAAATGTGGAGAGTAAAATATGAATAACTCCGCCTGGGGCCCTTCTGGGGCTTCTGCCGGTCGAAAGCCCGGATAAAGGAGTAGGGTTGGGCATGAGATTAGCGACATCATCCCGTAGAACACTAACTCGTTAAAAACGCTAACCAGTAAAGATAATTCACACTATTTAAACTGTACCCTGGGAGTTAAAAGGTCTTCATTTAGAAGAGTTATGACGTCTCATAATAAAAGCCGAGTTCCTTCAAAAGTCACGAGCATGATACCCCTTCTGACAACCATAGGAACCATTAATTTAAGTACATGGAATGGAGACAGACATAAGAAGAATGAATAACAATTAGATAGAACTAGAAAGGAAGGTCCAGGACAGAAAGGGCTGGAGAATGTTGGTCGGCGGCCTATGCCTCACTGGGGGGTAACAGGCGTAAGTAAGTAAAAATATGAATACTCTAAAATAGTATAGGAATAAAAGATATATTCTTTTCTCAAAACAGAAGGTAGACTGGTTGTATACAGTTCCGAAGTAAGAATTAAGATACTGGGAACTTGATTAAAGTTTATAGAGAAATTTAAAAAAAAAACAACAAAGTCTTATGTCATGGTCTCACGAGAAATAAGCTTTTTTGTAGCTTATCGGTCAGAAGGTATGGGAATTCAAGTATATCCCACTCCAGGCATCCTTTCTAATCGGGTCATTTAACTCCATCTGTAGCCCTTCTAAGGTTACTAACAGTCCAAAACCCGGATAAACGCATAGGGACTGGAAAAAACAATCTTGTTAAGAAAACGTTAACCAGAATAAACAATTTAAACTCTTTCCTGAGAGTTGAATGATCTTCTTTCAGATGAATTATGACACCTTATGGTGGATCTGGACTATTCAAAAGTTCTTCAAAGTGTTTTACCCATCTGTTCCTCTGTTATTGAATTTCAGTGATTGACTTGCCGTTCTTGTTCTTGACTGGTCACTCTCGTTCGTCATATTTTTCAGCTATTTTCTTCAACGCGTTATATAGTTGTTTCATATTTCTTTCTATCATAGCTTTTTCCACTATCCATGCTAGATCTTCCACATATTTCAGCTTGTAAGCTCTAATGCTTTTCTTCACTTGCTTGTTTACTTCTATGTATTCAGCTTATGCCTTGATTTTCTTTGTTGTTGTTCGACTGTTTTTTTTAATTGCTGTCTTCTTGTTCTTCCTTTATTTTATCTTGTCTAGAGTTTCCATAAAGATCCATTCCTTATGATGATGCTTGTTGAGGTCCAGCGCCATCAAATTTACATTCTCCTCTCCGCATTTCCACTGTAGTTACTTTGCTACATAACTGTAAACTGATTGATTTACTGAGAAAAGAAGGCTTTTCCAATTCTGTTTTATTTTGGATAGTAATTCGTTTCAGATAAAATGGTTAGTGATTCAATCATAGAAGTATTCTATAGTGAAGCATCTATTACATAATCTGTTAATCCACTAATTTTATTATCTTTGAAGTCAATATTTATAAATATTCTGTCTTAACAACTGTATCATAATTCATAATCTATCGTAGTTAATGAAGAATTTCTGAGGGATATCTATTTTCAAGTAGACCTATTTCAATGAATACAAATTCTTCTTATAGTCTTTTCATGGATCAAATTTGTGAACACAGTCAGATAGTGTCAGATCAGTGTTAGACCATCATTGAAACGTTGAAAACTTTGGACCGTCGTTTCATTCTAGTATGGAACTCCCTAGCAAGGCACATCCATGATCCCGCAAGCAGGACTCCGAAAAGAACATTAACACTGTTGGATGCCAACCGGTTCAGTGGTCTAAAGGTCAAGTGTTCGTGCCCGAGACTGAAAGCCTTAGGTTCGAATCCTGAGGGCGGGATTGTGGATGCTCACTGTTGAGGATTCACATATTGGGCGAACCGACCGTTCAGTGCTTCCAGGCTTTCACTGGTGGTCTACCATCATTTGAATCACGACCTCAATATATATATCATTCAGTATGTGCAGATTAGTTTTATTAAGGTTACACTATTTTGCATGATAACTTATGATACCGTTTTTGTTTGCGTAAACCAAGCAGAATTGATTAAAGCTTAAACTTATAATCTCCTAGTTCACAATCAAACAATATACCATTGTATTATGACATAAACTCATTTCATTCTATGTATGAGAATGGCATTATCACTAATCATTATACAGTTTAGCACATATTCGATACATGATCATGGTGGTAGTTAATTTGTGTTCGTAAGATAATTGGAACAAGTCATACAATTACTCTATTGAAATCAACATTAATTTTCTGAAATAGTAGATGTTTGCTTTTTCATTTGTAATGAGAAAACCATCCACTATTACTACTACTACTACTACTACTACTACTACTACTACTACTACTACTACTACTACTACTACTACTACTACTACTACTACTACTACTACTACTACTACTACTACTACTACTACTACTACTACTACTACTACTACTACTACTACTACTACTACTACTACTACTACTACTACTACTACTACTACTACTACTACTACTACTACTACTACTACTACTACTACTACTACTACTACTACTACTACTACTACTACTACGACTACTACTACTACTACTACTACTACTACTACTACTACTACTACTACTACTACTACTACTACGACTACTACTACTACTACTACTACTACTACTACTACTACTACTACTACTACTACTACTACTACTACTACTACTACTACGACTACTACTACTACTACTACTACTACTACTACTACTACTACTACTACTACTACTACTACTACTACTACTACTACTACTACTACTACTACTACTACTACTACTACTACTACTACTACTACTACTACTACTACTACTACTACTACTACTACTACTACTACTACTACTACTACTACTACTACTACTACTACTACTACTACTACTACTACTACTACTACTACTACTACTACTACTACTACTACTACTACTACTACTACTACTACTACTACTACTACTACTACTACTACTACTACTACTACTACTACTACTACTACTACTACTACTACTACTACTACTACTACTACTACTACTACTACTACTACTACTACTACTACTACTACTACTACTACTACTACTACTACTACTACTACTACTACTACTACTACTACTACTACTACTACTACTACTACTACTACTACTACTACTACTACTACTACTACTACTACTACTACTACTACTACTACTACTACTACTACTACTACTACTACTACTACTACTACTACTACTACTACTACTACTACTACTACTACTACTACTACTACTACTACTACTACTACTACTACTACTACTACTACTACTACTACTACTACTACTACTACTACTACTACTACTACTACTACTACTACTACTACTACTACTACTACTACTACTACTACTACTACTACTACTACTACTACTACTACTACTACTACTACTACTACTACTACTACTACTACTACTACTACTACTACTACTACTACTACTACTACTACTACTACTACTACTACTACTACTACTACTACTACTACTACTACTACTACTACTACTACTACTACTACTACTACTACTACTACTACTACTACTACTACTACTACTACTACTACTACTACTACTACTACTACTACTACTACTACTACTACTACTACTATTGTTATTACTATTATGACCAACAGTAATAATACCAAAAAATAATGTAAATCTGTTCCATAAAACACAACATTCTGTTACTGAATGATTTTCATCATCTGTTCAATTCTATTCTTGTTGTGTCATTGATAAACAATGAACAAGTCAATGAATGAGAAACAAGTAAACATGCCTACATACACATGGTCAATTGATCGGTGTTTATTTTAAATTAATTAATTTCAGGTCATGGAATCAACATCATCATTGTCTCCATCATGCTAAAATCAACGAATAAATTATTCATTTATGAATAGTTGATGAAGGATTAGTTCATTGTCAAATTGTATACCACACTAGTTAATGATGAAAAATCAATTTTGAAAATAAATGAATATCTAGTGTGTTTTTTAGCGAGTTCGTCTTTTACGAGATGGGGTCACTAATCCCATGCCCAACCCTTCTCCTTTACCCGAACTTGGGATCGGCATTAACTCTAGAAGAGCTACAGGCAGTTCTGTTGTACGGAGCTGAAACATGGAGGACAACTACGATCATCGTTAAGAAGGTGCAAATATTTATAAATAGTTGTCTACACAAGGTACTCATTATTCATTGGCCGGATATCATCAGCAACAGCCTTCTGTGGGAGAGAACAAACCAACTTCCAGCTGAAGAGGAAATGAGGAAAAGACGATGGAAATGGATAGGACACACATTACTCAAATCATCAAACTGCATCACGAGGCAAACCCTAACTTGGAATCGTGAAGGGAAATGGAAAAGAAGAAGACCAAAGAACACATTAGGTCGAGCAAAAGAAGCAGATATGGAAAGGATTGGTTGGGACAGGGTTGAAAGTGTTTTGTTCCAGAGAATTACAGATACTGGTAACCAACTCTTTGTGGTAACTACTTGTCAATTTGATTTGTTGAAAATTAACACTCAATTGAACAGCGGGTGATTTTCTTCTCATATTATTATCTTATTTTCAGTCAATATTCCAATAGAAATAAGAAACATGGCAATAAATTGTTCATTCGAATGAACCCTTAATCTTTTGTTACTTCAGGCTATTTTTTTCCTTTGTCATCATTATAACCTAAATATTTCATTTACCCTTATGTAAATAAGATGATTGTCTGTGCTACTTGTCTGTTCTCCTTAACACCCACACACACACACATACATACACAGAAGTGTATAAATTTGCAGATGTGCCAATGTTTTCTACTCTTATGACCTATTTTGTTCGTTATATAGTGATATCAGTTAGTAGTGGCAATAATAGTGGTAATATTGATGATACTCACTGATTGAAAGTTAGCCATAAGATGCAGAGAAAACAATTTTTCTAGAACTATGTACAAGTATGGGATTGAAAACCTGGAAGCACTGGACGGCCGTTTCGTTCTAGTACAGGACTCCTCAATGATGTGTATTCAAGATCCTCATGCCGGCTCAGTGGTGTAGAAGTTAAGCGAGATATCCGTCTTCGAACCAGAGGGCGAATTTAATGCATAGTCGTTCGCTCCATTCTACTTTATGTTTGTAAGACATGACCAGTGAGATTAGAGGATATTCGTAGATTACTAGTATTAAATCATAGGTATCTTGAAAGCAATGTTCATGCATTTTGAGACAGTTGAGTAAGCTTGTCTAGGTTAGGAATAGAGTACCAGGTAGAAATTGGAAATCGGTTAATGAGGTGGTCGATAAATGTGTTACGAGTGCTCACCAACTTTATCTTCGATGTGTAATATTTTTTTCTTGCTACTTATATCGTTACTGCTTGCACTGTGAGATAGGCATCAGTCCACTCAGATTTACAGGTTCACCAGCTGATATAGTGCATGGGATATCGAATCACTCAGACTAGTGACCACAAAGTGACTCAGTCGATCTAATTCGATCAAAACTATGAACGACTCAATACAGTACTATATATATTTATATAATCTCAATGATCTATTTCTATTTATCGATATTCAGTAACGAGTTTTCCTTTCAATATAACTCAATTGTTCAAACTATAATTTGTCTTGTATTAGTCAGTGAATACATACATACCTATACACCTACACCTATACACCTACACACACAGCTCATTATTACAAGTAGTTCACCAACATTTCTATGTCATTTCACATGTTATCTCATCAATCCTAATCAAATCATACATGTGTGTAACTGGCATATTCCAATGTGTTGACATTTCCCATTCAATTCTCTCTTACTACTACTTGTAATGATTCATTAGGAATAAGACAATTTCAGAATCAGAATGGGTTTTGTGGAGATTTTAGAAATTTCACAGATTGAAATCATGAGTCAGTTGAAGCTAGACCAGCATGGAAAACCTGGAAGCACTAGACGGGCGTTTCGTCCTAGTATGGGACTCCTCAGCAGTGCGCATCCACGATCCCGCACCACGCGGGGCTCAAACCCAGGACCTACTGGCTTCGCGCGCGAGCACTTAACCACTAGACCACTGAGCCGGCCGGCCGGCATCCAACGGTGTTCATGTCTAACTTCAACCAATCCACGAAGTTGCGCCACCGAACACCATTGTCTTCAGTGAGTTCCTATCTCACAACAGACCTGGTTGAACCCCACTGGATGCGCACTGCTGAGGAGTCCCATACTAGGACGAAACGGCCGTCCAGTGCTTCCAGGTTTTCAATGGTGGTCTAGCTTCAACTGACTCATGATTTCAATCTGTGAAATTTCAGAATCGTTTTGTAGAATAATTTTAAATAGATTTGCAATATGATAGAAATCTCTATCAATCTCTATCTGTATAGTAATTTGTTATATATATAATTGTTATAATTATAATTGACATTTCCATAGATATACAAGTAGTCAGTGAGGCAAGCAAGCAAGCAGGCAAGCAGGCAAGCAGGCAGTCAGGCAGGCTGGCTGGCAATCAGGCAGGCAGTCAAGTATTTAGTTAAGCGGGTAGGCAAGTAGGCAATTAATCAGTTCAGTAAGACAGTGAGAGTGAGGATCTTGTATACATGTGTTCAATGGATCACACATACACATACACATGCACATGCATATACACAGATATTCAGAGTGTGTGCGTGTGTGTGTGTGTGAGGATCACAAACCGTTGACGATGAATGGAGAACTGAGATATTTTCCATATTAATAAATGATTATAAACACTAGTGAAACAATTACACTTTACCGAGGACACATACATCATCCTCTAATAAATAAGTTGTGTTGTTTTAATTAAGTGACATTTCATTTCAGAATGAATAAATTTGACAGAAATGTTTAATGTTTTTAATACAGAAAACTGATTTTATGTAATTGAGAGCCAGGAAAGGAAATAAATGGTGGCTAGTAGTGGAATATAGGAGGTAGGTTTCGTCCTTTTCGGGACTCGTCAGCTGAGTGTACCTGCATCACAGAGTATTAGAGAGCTATTTTGTACTAGTATGAATTCCTTCGAAATTATACATGAATGAATTTAATTAGGATCGAATGAAAGAATTACGTTTAAAATACAGTCTTATTTAAACTTTATGACGTAACAGTTCACAATTTATTTTTAAGTGTAACATAATATCATCAGATGTGTTTACTGTCAGGTTAATGTTATATCGTTGGAGTTAGTCGACGAGGAATCCCACTTGACATAAGCTTCATTTTATTCAGCATTCTTCCGTCAGGAGTACGCGGAATTTTGAAGAGACTAGTTTTCGTAATCTCACACACCATCATAGAGCTATTTGAACAGTAACTTACCTCCTGCAGAATTGAAGTGTCTATTTTGACTAATCTCTGAGCAGCAATTAATGTCCCCTAGGTGGATCCTCCATATCCACCAACTCGGTTAAAGCGCCACACATTCTCTTTCCGTTCTCTCAATTTCGTAAACAACACCCGTGGCACGAGAAGGCAGTAAGTAGGACTTTCCTGGCAGTGGCTGTATGCACGTGGTCATGTGAGAGCATTTAGTGAAGGAGACTGCACTCTTCCCACCCTCGGCCGTACCAGGGAATTTAGGGGCAAGTGTTTAAATACATTCGGTTGTACCCATTTGCGTTCTCATTCACTACAGCAGTTAGTGTCTATGGATAAACATTTAAGAAAAACTGTTAATTTTCATACTTGAATTTCAGTATCATTTCAAACTTGCTGTTTTGTTTTTCATTTGACTCATTCTTTGTGATTAAAGTTTTACTATCCATAATTGTTTGATTATTCGGACATCTTTGATCCCGAGATGGTGAAGGAGATTTGTAGCTCAAGTGGATGATTTTGATGGAGTTTTGTTCTCTGAGTTGGATGGTTTGGTCCATCTTTGTTTCTACACTTTGTAACATGTCAAATTGATAAATGTTTCTACAAAACCAACTCCTCCTGAAGCCCATCTGGGGCTACTCTCAGTCCCAAGCCCGGATAAAGGAGAAGGGCTAGAATAGAATGGGTTGGAGAATGCTGGTTGGAGACCTATGTTCCATTGGAAGTAACAGGAGTAAGTAAGTAGACTTCTACAAAACCATACAAGGTTGATAATTCACTTTGATTTAATTCATATTTGAATTAAAAGCATCTTATAGTATTATTTTTAAAAAAATTAATAGTTACTTTGTAACTTGACTGACAGAATTACGATCATTGACAAGTATAACATTGTTTTTGATGGAGTTTTGTTCTCTGAGTTGGATGGTTTGGTCGTGGAGCTTTTATCGTTCTTCTGAACGACATCATCAGCACAAACTTCAGATTGGTTCAATAAGAACCAATCAACGTTGAGGTGTACAGAACAAGCTGTGAAACGCATATGGAGAAATTTGAACACTTCACTTCTGTCTGAAGTTTGTGCTGATGATGTCGTTCAGAAGAACGATAAAAGCTCCATGACCAAACCATCCAGCTCAGAGAACAAAACTCCATCAAAATTCATCCACCTGAGCTACAAATCTTCTCCACCATCTCAATAACATTGTTTACTATTCAGTCATCGATTAATGAAAATATCTTAGTACTATGGAATGTTATTTGTGACCCGAATATCTTTGTGATGATGTTACAGAGTATGATGT